CCCTCGCATGCTTAGATGGGTGATCTTTTTGCAGGCTTACGATTTTGACTTGGAGCACCGGCCTGGAAAAGCTATTGGGCATGCGGATGCCCTCAGCCAATGCCCATTGCCTGACATTGGCACAGACCCTGCCCCCGCCTGTGAGGTCTTGGCGATCGAAGAGCTCCCTCAAGTGCCCATATCCTCCAGGGACATTGCGGCGCAAACCTCTAAGGACAGCGTGTTGTCCCGAGTATTGAACTGGGTTTGGAGGGGGTGGCTGGTAGGGGGCCTAGAACCAGAATTCCAGCCTTACAAAGCCCGCCAAAAGGAGCTATCGATATCCAAAGGGTGCATCCTCTGGGGGAACAGTGTGGTGATTCCTGACAAGCTCAGAAAAAAGGTTTTGGAATCCTTACATGAGGGTCACCCTGGCATGGTGTACATGAAGGCACTAGCTAGAGGGTATGTTTGGTGGCCTGGGCTAGACGCAGAAGTCGAAGAGTGGGTACGAGTGTGCACAGAATGCCAACAAAACAGACCAGAGCCTCCACAGGCTTCACCGCAAAGGTGGGAATCCACAGGTAAGCCCTGGTCAAGAATCCACATTGATTTTGCTGGCCCAATACAAGGGCACATGTTCCTGATTATTGTTGATTCTATGTCAAAATGGCTAGAGGTAATTCAGACGCAAACGACCACTTCCCTGGCCGTGAGCCATGCGTTACGCCGGCTGTTCGCAACGCACGGACTGCCGGACACTCTGGTCAGTGATAACGGACCCCAATTCACGTCCCAAGAGTTCAGCCAATTCCTTTCGAGCAATGGCATTCGCCATGTAACGTCTGCCCCATTCCACCCGGCATCTAATGGGGAGGCTGAGAGGATGGTCCGAACTGCAAAAGAGGCTCTGGGTAAACTGCATGAGGGGGACTGGAATGTCAAACTGGCCTCTTTTCTGTTAAGGCAGCACACTACGTCATCTAGCGCCACGGGTCAGAGTCCTGCTGAGCTACTAATGGGAAGGCGCCTGATGACGCGCTTAAATAGATTGCACCCGGACCTTAACGATCAAGAGCCTGAAAGAAGGAATACGCAAACGAACGTGCGCATATTTAAGGCCGGTGACAAAGTGTTTGCCCGTAACTATGCTGCAGGGCACTCCTGGATCCCTGGGGTGGTGTGTGAATGTATAGGCACCCACATGTATGTTGTACAACTAGCCGATGGTAGAAAATGGCGGCGCCACATTGACCAACTGAGGCAGAGATGGGCAAAGGAAAGCGCTGACTCTTCTCCAGCTGAGTTCCCAGAGCTTGGCTCCAGGCCTCTAGAAGAGGTGAGTACCGAGCTACCCGGTACTATTCTCGAAGCGGGACAGTCCCCTGACCTCGGGACTGCAAACCCTGAAATAAACGAGCCTGACACAGGTATTGCAGACATTCCACAGACCTTGCCCTCTGAGCCGGCACAGCCCCGCAGGTCTCAGCGGACGCGGCAGCCACCATCGTATCTTGCAGATTACGATTGTAATAAAATGCATTGTACTGGATGATGTCTTAACTAAGGGGGGAGGAATTGTAATGTATTGGAAATCGCTTACATGAATCCCCTCATTCACTCCCCATGCAAAGCTTGAGCCGGATGAAGGCTCCACTGAACTGCATTGCCATTGGTCACCCTCTAACAGCAACCAATCAGAAACTGTACAGGCTCCAGAGAGGGAAAGACTCTCATTGGTCTTTAACTACACAATCTTATTGGTTGTTATCTGTAAATAGGTGTGGCTATGTTAGCCAGGAATGTTTAAAAGGAGCCTGGCTCCCAATGTTAAACTGTTCTGGTTATGAATGTGTTTGAGTGCTTGTTCGTTACTTCATTAAAGCTGAATCACTTTGCTGAAATCACTCTCGAGTCTTTGTTAGCGGCGATCTAACAGCCAGTATCTTCCTTGGTGCCCACTGAGCTTTCCAGAAGGTGGGCGGGATGCATCAGTGCTTAGTTCTCGCGGCTCTTTCTTACACGCCCGGGGAAATGCTGATCGCCACTTTAGGGTCAGGAAGCCATTTTTCTCCAGGCCAGTTTGGCTGGGGATCCTGGAGGTTTTTGCCATCTTCCGGGTGTGGAACAGGGGGTCACTGTGTGTGTGTGTGGGTGGGGGGAGATATTTGTGACTTTCCTGCATTGTGCGGGGGGTTGGACTAGATGACCCTGGAGGTCCCTTCCAACTCTTTGATTCTATGATTGCAAGGCAGGGCTTGTTATTGGCTGCCTACATTCAAGTTAAAGTTTTTCCACTGGAGGACAGTTAAGCACCTGGGCTTTCCATAGTCAGGATGTGGTTCCAGTCTCCGTTCAGGAGTTCCTTCTTCCCTAGAGAACATGGATGCTTTGGAGGGCATTGTACCCCAGTGTTCCCTTTAAGCTGAGTTAGTGTGAGCTAGCTCACAGTTTTTTAGCCTCTGGCTCACAGATTTTTGTCTTAGCTCAGGAAGGATGGCTCCAGAGCAGACTAATTCATGCAGTAGTCAAACCGCTCGCTCACAACTTGAATGCCAGCAGCTCACAAAGTAGAATTTTTGCTCACATGACTCCACAGCTTAGAGGGAACATTAGGTCCAATGGCTTCCCATGCTCCATCCCCAAATCTCCTGGAGTTTCCCCACCTGGAGGTGGCAACTCCACCCCTGCACCAATGCTCCCTCCAAGCTGTGGAGTCGGAGCAAAAAATGTTGTGAGCGAGCGATTTGGCGACTGCATAAATTCGGTTGCTCTGGAGCCATCCTTTCTGAGCTAAGACAAAAATGTGTGAACCAGAGAAGAAGAAGAAGAAGAAGAGGAGATTGGATTTATACTCCGCCCTTCACTCGGAGTCTCAGGGCGGCTTGCAAACTCCTTTCCCTTCCCCTCCCCACCACAGACACCCTGTGAGGTAGGTGGGGCTGAGAGAGCTCTTGACAGAACTGTCCTTGAGAGAACAGCTCTGACAGAACTATGGCTTGTAAGTGGAGGAGTAAGGAATCAAACCCGGCTCTCCCAGATTAGAGTCTGCACACTCAACCACACGACACCAAAACTGGCTCACACTAACTCACCTTAGAGGGGAAATGCCCTCACCCCCTCCGCTGGTGGCCAGGGGGAGGCAGTGGGTAGAAAGCTGGCCAAGCAAAGGGATAATGGGACAGCCCCCCCCCCCCAGTTCTGGGATGCCAAAGCCTTCAGAAGCACCGTCTGGCATCTCTCGCAGCTGTCGGTTTCTTGGTGGCCGGCCCACCCTCCGTCCCTGGGCAGACGCCAGCGGCCCCCTTACATTCATGCCATGCCAAGCCCACAAAGCCAAGCAGATCAGCTGTCCCGAGAAGGGGAATTCACCACATTCCAGACTACCAGATGTCTCTAGGTCTGGCTTCCACGCGCTTTCTTTCCCCTCTTGGGGCAGACGGGACACTTGCCTTGGAACGCCATTGTTATTTCTCCAGATTGTTTAAGCTGGCGTCACTGCGGGGGGGCTGCCATTTAAAGGGAGAAACAAACGCTGAGAGATCCAGGGATCACAACTGATCTCCAGGCTGGAGAGGCCAGTTCTCCTGGAGAAAATGGCTGCTTTGGGGGGGGGGGCATTAAGGCATGATGCCCCACCGAGGCCCCTCCCTTCCCCAAACCCAACACTCCTAGACTGCACCCTCAGTTTGGTGTAGCGGTGACAAGCGCAAATTCTAATCTGGGAGAATCGAGTTTGATCCCCCCACTTCTTCTCCACATGCAGCTGCTGGTGTGACCTTGGGCCAGTCACAAGTTCTCTCAGAGCTGTTCTCTCAAGAGCAGTCCTCGAAAGAGCTCTCTCAGCTCCACCTACCTCACAGGGCGTCTGTGGTAGGGAGGGGAAGGGAAAGGAGAGCTCTGAGCCGCTCTGAGACACCTTTGGGTAGTGAAGTCTAAATCTTCCCTGGGAGAAATCTCCAGGCCAGCGCCTGGAAACTGGTAACCCTATGTGACAGATCCCACCCTCCAAAGCAGACCCTTTCTCTGGTGTGTGTGTGTTTCGTCTGGAGATCAGTCCTAACAGGGGGAGATCTCCAGGCCCAATTTTGTAGCCTACACGCCTCCCAAACTGATGAATCGCTTTCCGCATGTGGAATACTGATAAGAGCATTGGCTCATTCATTATAAGACGATCTCGAAGGACGGATTCCTGATTCGAAATGACCTTCCATGATCCGGCTGTGTCTGTTGTCGCATGACACAGCTGTGTGCTTTCTGTGAAGAATTTATTTCTGCTGTAAAATCAACGACAGGAACTGTATAATTGTTCTCTTCGTTTGATAGACTTTGTGGATGCCTTGAACAGATTCCAGCGTTCCCTCCAAGCTGAGTTAGTGTGAGCTCGCTCACAGTTTTTTAGCCTCCGGCTCACAGATTTCTGTCTTAGCTCAGGAAGGAGGGCTCCAGAGCAAACTAATTTATGCAGCAGCCAAATCTCCTGCTCACAACATTAATGCCAGTAGCTCGCAAAGTAGAATTTTTGCTCACAAGACTCCGCAGCTTAGAGGGAGCATTGGTTGTGATCCTTTACAAATTTTGTTCACACAGGAACCGGTAGGTTTTTTTTTTTTTCAAAAAAAAATTTTGTTTTTTTTTTTTTTTCCCCCCCCCCCCCCCCGCGTCCTAGCTGGAAACCAGTTTCATTTTCCCTGCCCCAAGATCCGGAGTCACCCCTGCTCCGGGAACTCTCTCCGGCCGGAGTCCAGGCCACAGCAAGCAAAGGGCAACGCGGGCCCCGGATCACGCGAGCGGCGCCTGCCCAGCAAAGGCCTTGGTTGGTACAAGCTTGCAAAAATCTGCACGCCCTCCGTGCCAAGCGAGCGCCGGCGTCTCCCGCCTCCCCCCAGCTGGCTCGAAGGCCCGGGCGTGGCGTGATGGCGCGTCCCCACGTGCGCGCACACCTCCCCTCCTCCTCCTCCTTGCCAACTCCTCCTTGCCAACTCCTCCCGCCTCTGAGCTCACTTCCGACGGAGGGCGGGGCTGCCGGCGGCCGCATAAGAAGAAGCCGACGAGGAGGTGGGGAGGTCATCGCCTTCCTGGAAGTCGAGCTGCGGCGTTGCTCAGTTGCGGCCATGGCCGGCGGTTACCCGAAGCCGGACGAGAAGAGCCTGCAGGCCCTGCGCGACGCGGCCAACCGCCTGCGCATCCACTCCATCCGCGCCACCTGCGCCTCCAATTCGGGGTGAGCCGCAGGCAGCCCCCCCCCCCAGCTTGCGTTAGGACGGGGGGAGGGGAATCAGCTGCCCGGGGATCGAGACCCACGTCCCCGATCCTGCATTGCATTCCTGTCTGCCTGCCTCGCGTGCTCCTTTTAGCTAGGAACGCGTGGGGAAGTTGCACGGAATCGGGTCTTTGGCACCCCCTGGATCCTTTTGGGTCCACGCGGTGCGGGGGCGCCCTGGCCCCTTCTGGGGCTGGAGGGGGGGAGGTTCCAGCGGAACCACGGGCACCCACTCCTTGCGCCCTTCCCGTCGCTGTGCGCGCTTCCGTTCGCGGCCGGGCCCTCGCCGCCCTGCGCATGGCTCTCCAGGCTGACCCACGCTGGACCTGGCGGCTGTAGGCGAGCTGCCCTGGGGAACCGAGCTGGGGGAGGCCTATGAGTGCCAACTTCCAGGTGGTGCCTGGAGGCCTCCCAGAATTACCACCGAGCACTAGACTGCAGAGATTGGCTCCCCCTGGAGAAAATGGCTGCTTTGGAGGGTGGATTCCAGGGGCATGATATCCCGCCAAGGGCCCCCCCCCCCCATTCCACCTCGGAATTTCCAGGAATTTCCTAACCCCAACTGAAGGGTTGGGGCCGGGGGCTCCCTACTAAAGCCAGAGTTGGCTTGGAGGGGTGGGAAGGTGGTACTCAATTGGGCCTGCAGTAGTGTGGTCAGCTCCAGATTGGGAAATTCCTGGCAAGGAGGGGGTGGATCCTGCGGAGGGCAGGGACCTCGGCAGAGTGTATTGCCACAGAGCCGTAGGGGCCATAGCTCAGTGGCAGAGCCTTTGCTTGGCATGCAGAAAGTCCCAGGTTCAATTCCCGGCCTCTCCAGTTAAAAGGAGCAGGCAGGAGGTGATGGGAAAGACCTTGACCTGAGACCCTGGCTCAGTGGCAGAGCCTCTGTTAGGCATGCAGAAGGTCCCAGGTTCAATCCCCGGCATCTCCAGTTAAAAGGGCCAGGTAGGAGGTGATGAGGAAGACCTTGACCTGAGACCCTGGCTCAGTGGCAGAGCCTCTTCTTGGCATGCAGAAGGTCCCAGGTTCAGTCCCCGGCCTCTCCAGTTAAAAGGGCCAGGTAGGAGGTGATGAGGAAGACCTTGACCTGAGACCCTGGCTCAGTGAGTGGCAGAGCCTCTGCTTGGCATGCAGGAGGTTCCAGATTCAATCCCTGGCATCTCCGGTAAAAAGGAGCAGGCAGCAGGTGATGGGAAAGACCTCCGCCTGAGATCCTGGAAAGCCGCTGCCAGTCTGAGTAGACAATACTGACCCTGATGGGCCAAGGGTCTGATTCAATAGAAGACAGCTTCATCTGTGTTTAAAACAGCATTTCCACCAGGGGAACTGGTCTCTGTCATATGGACAGCACTTCCCATTACAAGAGCTCTCCGGGCCCTGCCTGGAGGTTGGCAACCCTGGGAGCCGTCCAGGTGCCTCCGGGCCTGCGCGCTGGTCACTGATGCTGCCCTTTGCCCCCACAGCCACCCCACGTCATGCTGCAGCGCCGCAGAGATCATGTCCGTCCTGTTCTTTCACACCATGCGCTACAAGCCCAGTCAGCCGGCCCACGCCAGCAACGACCGGTTTGTGCTGTCCAAGGTGAGGAGTGCTCTTCTCTATTGGAGCCCCTGAGGCTTTCCCTGCCTGCTCTTATGTGTAGCTGAACGCTTGGGCAATGTTGCCTTGCGCTGCGCGAAGAGGATGCCGTGTGTGGTGCCAGCATTCCAGAGCTACAGGCCCACACACTTCATCTCACGCCTGTTTTGTTTCCCCTCGGACAGGGCCATGCGGCGCCCGTTCTCTATGCAGCGTGGGCCGAGGCGGGCTTCATCAAAGAGTCGGAACTGCTGAAACTGCGGAAGATCGACTGTGATTTGGAGGGCCATCCGACCCCTGTAAGTGCCTTTCTGGAGGGGTGTTTCCTTCTCCAAGAGCCAGTTTGGTGTAGTGGTTAGGAGCGTGGACTCTTAAACTGGGAGAACCGGGTTTGATTCCCCACTCCTCCCCATGCAGCTGCCGGTGTGACCTTGGGTCAGTCGCACGTTCTCTCAGAGCTGTTCCCTCACAAGCAGTTCTCGAAAGAGCTCTCTCAGCCCCACCTGCCTCACAGGGTGTCTGTTGTGGGGAGGGGGAGGGGGAGGGAAAGGAAATTGTAGGCCGCTCTGAGACTCCTTCGGGTCGTGAAAGGCAGGGTATACATCCAATCTCTTCTTCTTCTTCTTTTACCTCACAGGGTGCCTGTTGTGGGGAGGGGGAGGGAAAGGAAATTGTAGGCCGCTCTGAGACTCCTTCGGGTCGTGAAGGGCAGGGTATACATCCAATCTCTTCTTCTTTGTCTGGTGCTGTATGCTGGCCTCCAATAGCAGGCCCACTGTGGGCAACCCGGAACCCCAAATAGAGTTTAGACAAGGGTTCCCCAACATGGTTCTCATGGTAGCATGGCCAGTAGTTCCTTCGGTGCCCAAGAGGCTTTTTGGGAAGCGGGCAGGGCCAATATAAGGCAGGGCTTCTTGTCAGCTGTCTTTATTCAAATGGGTTTTCCACTGTAGAATCAGGTCGGCGCCAGGGCTTTCCTTACGTGCCGTGTGGTTCCATTCCCCCTTCAGGCTCTCCTTCTTCCCAGGAGGGGGGCAGGCATGCCTTTTGGCTCTGCCTCCTGAGGCAACCATTTTGGGGTTGGCTCTGCCTCCCGCGGAAGCCATGTCAGGATGGCGTTCACCGCCCCCTCTCAAGATTCCAATGGTGCCAGCGGACTCAAAAAGGTTGGGGGACCCAGCTTAGTTTAGAAAGCTAATTTCCTAAGGGAACAGCGCCGTGTGTGCATGGGGTCGAAGCTGGGACGTCGAATGCAGCTCCTCAACATGGACGTGTACCTGTAGTAGTGGGCAGAGAGGAGGGAATGGCTTCCTGAAACCAGAGAAGACCCGGGGCAGATCTGGCACAGAATGCCCTGTGTTCTACTGCAGTTGTCCTGGGCTTTAAGGTAGAGGGGCTGTGGATCAGTGGCAGAGCCTCTGCTTGTCATGCACAAGGTCCCAGGTTCAATCCCCGGCATCTCCAGTTAAACGGACCGGGCAGTAGGTGATAAGAAAGACCTGGGACCCTGGCTCAGTGGCAGAGCCTCTGCTTGGCATGCAGAAGGTCCCAGGTTCAATCCCCGGCATCTCCAGTAAAAAGGACCAGGCAGGAGGTGATGAGAAAGACCTTGACCTGAGACTCTGGCTCAGTGGCAGAGCCTCTGCTTTTCATGCGGAAGGTCCCAGGTTCAATCCCCGGCATCTCCAGTTCAAAGGACCAGGGAGGAGGTGATGAGGAAGACCTTGACCTGAGACCCTGACTCAGTGGCAGAGCCTCTGCTTGGCAGGCAGAAGGTCCCAGGTTCAATCACTGGCATCTCCAGTAAAAAGGACCAGGCAGGAGGTGATGGGAAAGACCTTGACCTGAGACCCTGACTCAGTGGCAGAGCCTCTGCTTGGCGTGCAGAAGGTCCCAGGTTCAATTCCCGCCATCTACCGTAAAAAGGACCAGGCAGGAGGTGATGGGAAAGACCTTGACCTGAGACCCTGGCTCAGTGGCAGAGCCTCTGCTTGGCATGCGGAAGGTCCCAGGTTCAATCCCCAGTATCTCCAGTTGAAAGGACCAGGCAGGAGGTGATGAGAAAGACCTTGACCTGAGACCCTGGAGAGCCGATTGCCGGTATGAATACTGTGCTGACCTTGAGAGAGTCCAGTGGTCTGATTCAGTATAAGGCAGCTTCGTGGGGTCATGAGCTTTTCCTCTTGCTTTAACAGAAGCTGCCTTTTGTGGATGTGGCCACCGGATCGCTGGGCCAGGGCCTTGGAGCCGCTTGTGGCATGGCCTATACGGGCAAATACTTTGACAAGGCCAGGTGAGGAATTGCGGGCGGAGGCAGGAAGGCCTGTACGGGGAAGCCTGCTTCTGCCCCTGGAGGAATTGTCTTGGGATGGAGTGCTGTAGGCGGATGGGGAAGATGGACGATAGGCTGTGGAAGAGCCCCCTGATCTTGTCCCCCCCCCCCCCCCTCCCCCCGGGGTCCCCCGGGCGACGGGGAGTCTTCGGAAGGCTCGGTGTGGGAAGCCATGGCGTTTGGATCCCACTACTTCTTGGACAACCTGGTCGCCGTCTTCGACGTCAACCGGCTGGGGCAGAGCGAGGCGGCCCCGCTCCGCCATGACACCGACGTCTACCGCAAGCGCTGCGAGGCCTTTGGGTAAGCATGGTTGGCTGGTTTTGCCCTCTCTCCGGCGAGGGGCCGGCTTTGTTTGCGTGCAAAGATCGCGACCCCCCCTCTCCCTTCTCGCCAGGTGGAACACCTACGTTGTCGACGGCCACGATGTGGAGGAGCTGTGCCGGGCCCTGTGGCAGGCGAGCCAGACGAAGGGGAAGCCGACGGCCATCGTGGCCAAGACGTTCAAAGGGCGGGGGATCCCAGGTGAAGCGTCGCTCTTTGCCTAGAGGTGGGGGGGTTGCTAGGGCTGCATGGTGGCCAGGGGAGCATTTTTGCATGGCCCAGGCTAACTCCCATCTCATCAGCTCTCAGAAGCTAAGTAGGGTCAGCCCTGGTCAGTATTTGGATGGGAGACCACCAAGGAAGTCCAGGGTTGCTGCGCAGAGGCAGGCAAGGGCAGAGCACTTCTGGGTGTCTCTTGCCTTGACCTGGATGGCCCAGGCTAGCCTGATCTCATCAGATCTCAGAAGCTAAGCAGGGTCAGCCCTGGTTAGTATTTGGATGGGAGACCACCAGGGAAGCCCAGGGTTGCTGTGCAGAGGCAGGCAAGGGCAAACCCACCTCTGATCGCCTCTTGCCTTGACCCGGATTGCCCACGCTAGCCTGATCTCATCAGATCTCAGAAGGTAAGCAGGGTCAGCCCTGGTTAGTACTTGGATGGGAGACCGCCAGGGAAGCCCAGGGTTGCTGTGCAGAGGCAGGCAAGGGCAAACCTGTTTCTCTCTTGCCTTAACCTGGATGGCCCAGGCTATGCCAGTCTTGTCAGCTCTCAGAAGCTAAGCAGGGTCAGCCCTGGTCAGTATTGGATGGGAGACCGCCAAGGAAGTCCAGGGTTGCATGTGCAGAGGCAAGCAATCCACCTCGGTTTGCCTCTTGCCTTGAAACCCCTATGGGATCACCGTAAGTTGGCTGCGACTTCATGGCGCTTCCCGCCCCCACCAGCGAGTGACTGGATGGTCTTTCTCTCAGGTGTGGAGGACGGGGACAACTGGCACGGGAAGCCGATCCCTAAGGACAAAGTGGACTCCGTGATCAACACCATCCAGAGCCAGATCCAGACCAATAAAGTCCAGTCTATCCTGCCGCCTGTGGAGGACGTCCCGCAGATCAGCATTGCAGATATCAAGATGCCGTCTCCGCCTGCCCACAAGATTGGGGAAAAGGTACTGTCGTGTGGGCAGGCACCGGAGTCACCCCTTGGCCACAGTGTTGGCAGCAGTGCTCCTTCTAAGCTGTTGGAGTCTTGTGAGCAAAAATTGTACTTTTGTGAGCGACTGGCATTAAAGCTGCGAGCGAGCGGTTTGGCTACTGCATAAATCAGTTTGCTCTGGAGCCCTCCTTCCTGAGCGAAGGCAAAAATGTGTGAGCCGGATGCTGAAAAACTGAGCTGGCTCACACTAACTCAGCTTAGAGGGAACCCGGGTGGGCCGCTGGGTCGGATTCTCTGCTTCTACGACAGAGACACCTGTACTGTAGGACTGGGACCTGAGAGGGCCAGGGTGGGATCCCTTCTCTGCCATGGAAGCTTTGGGCCAATTGCACAGACTTCGCCTAACCAACCTCACTGGGTTGTTGTGAGGATAAAACAGAGCTTTGAGTCCCTGTCGGAGGGAAACGCAGGGAATGAATGAAGTGCATTACTCAAAGACGCCTTATGACTGCTTGCATGTGACACGGAGCCCTGGAGAGCTAAGCGTTCCTCTTGATCTCCTCTAATAGAAAATTGCAGTCTCTTACTTCCCAGTTCTTCCTCTGTGGCCACAAGAAGGCCGTTAAAGACGTGTCTGTCTTCCATTGGCTTGGGAGTTCTAGAGAGCCAGTTTGGTGTAGTGGTTAGCAGCGCGGACTCTAACCTGGGAGAACTGGGTTTGATTCCCCACTCCTCCACAGGCAGCTGCTGGTGTGAACCTGGGCCAGTCACAAGTTCTCTCGGAGCTGTTCTCTCAAGGGCAGGCCTCTGAAGAGCTCTCTCAGCCCCACCTGCCTCACAGGGGTGTCTGTTGTGGGGAGGGGAAGGCTGCTCTGAGATTCCTTTGAGTAGTGAAGGGTGGGTTACAAATCCAAACTTTTCTTCTTCTCTTCTGTATTTCCTATAGCTCCCTGTCTTTCTCCTTGCAGATCTTAATGTGCCCTTTGGCTTCTATACCCTGTCTTGCGTCAGGTCGCCCCTCCCGTTCACTCCACATATTTTAATTCCCTGACTCCGGTCGATGACAAAAACAACTTCCAAGTGTATACAGAGATCAGTGTGTAATCCAGAAGACGCAAATGCAGTAAACAAAGCCCGAAGCAGGGAAAATGTGCATAGCCTATTAATTGTATAGTCTATTTCCAGAATTTGAGAGAGAAATTAAAACCTTTTGACAGTGTTTCTTCTCTTCTCAAGAGCCGGTTTGGTGTAGTGGTTAAGTGCGCGGACTCTAATCTGGGAGAACCGGGTTTGATTCCCCACTCCTCCACTTGCACCTGGCTGGATAACCTTGGGCAAGCCATAACTCTGGCACAGCTGTTCTTGAAAAAGAGCAGTTTGTCAAGAGTTCACTCAGCCCCACCTACCTCACAGGGTGTCTGCTGTGGGGAGGGGAAGGGAAAGGAGTTTGTAAGCCGCTCTGAGACACCTTTGGGTAGTGAAGGGCGGGGTATAAATCCAATCTCTTCTTCTTCTTCTTCTCTGGCCCCTCTTTCTTGGGTCTCCCCAAAGCTCAGTGGTGGTAACATTCAGTCTTTCACAACAAGAATGAGAACCACGTGAGAATAACGGGCACGCCAGATTGGTGATATGACCGCTGTTCAGATTATTTGAGAAAGAAGAAGAAGAGATTGGATTGGATTGACAAACTCCTTTCCCTTTCCCTCCCCACAACAGACATCCTGTGAGGTAGGTGGGGCTGAGAGAGCTCTTGACAGAAACTGCTCTTTTTTTCAAGAACAGCTCTTGTCAGAACTAGGGCTTGCCCAAGGCCATCCAGCCAGGTGCAAGTGGAGGAGTGGGGAATCAAACCTGGATCTCCCAGATTGGAGTCCACGCACTTAACCACTACACCAAAGTGGTGTAGAGGGGCTTGAAAGAGAGGAATTATTTTGGGGAGGTAAATGCCCACCTCCTGTAAATCAATGACCTTAGAACTCAAATCAGTATTTGAACGCATGGCATACAGACGACAATTGTGCCTGAATTTATTTTCAGACATTTAGAAATCTTTTTATAGACATTTATGTGTAGATCCGCCATCCCTGTTATACTTTTATTCCCACTGTTTGTATTCATTCCCTCCCCCCTTTTTCTGTTTTTAATTAGTTACTGGGTTTCAAGTTTGTCCCCCCCCCCCCTTCTTTTATTCTGATTTTTTTTTTTTAAAAAAAAAAAGAAAGAATGAAACGTTTAAAAAAGATGATTAGACACCGACGTTCCATGCAAACGTGTCTACGTGCTATGTGCCATCAGGTCACTAGGGCAACCCCTTTTGGTTAATGACTTCCGAGATGTCCTGTCGTCCACAGTCTTGCTCAGGTCTTGCAAAACCGAGCACTGCAGCTTCCTGGATTGAGTCCGTCCAGCTCATGTTGGGTCTTCCTCTGTTCCTGCCGCCTCCAACATTCCCTAGCACTGTTGTCTTTTCCAGCGACTCCAGTCTTCTCATGATGTGACCAAAACTCCCAAAGCCTCAGTGTGGTCATTTTAGCTCCTAGGAAGAGTTGAAATGCGGAGTTCTCTGTGGGACTTCAGAGAACAGGAGAAAAAAAGCCGTATACATGCACTAAATAATGCAAACACGATACTATATTTGTGAATAATAACAATAATAATACATTGCAAAATTGTGTAAAAATTACAAATGGAAGAGC